GCATATAATGAGCAAAACATGTTGTCATCGCATACTTAGCAATTATGTATATATGTACATAATAGGTGCATATATGTAATATACAGTAGGAATATTATTTAAAGTAATTAAAGATTGACAGATTCATGAGTTATTTATTATTTACTATTAGATACACCAACAGCACAAAATATAGTATAATTTATGTGTTCTTAGCTATAAGACCACAGGCCTATTACAGGTATACACAACATTGGTAAAAACAGTTAATCACACTTATAAACTAAAATTAATAAAAATAGGAAGTGGACAATAAAGATAAATTACCAGTAAACTAAATTATATGAGTTATAATAAAGTTATAAGGGAACAACAAAAAGAAGAGACCCATTGAGTTTTTCTTTTGCTTTCACTTGAATCCTTTCAATTTTACACAATACGTCACCCGTTGTTTTCATTTCAATGAAAAGTAGTTTATATTCTACCATGAGTACATCGTTTTAAATCTATTAATGGTATTGTTGTTTCCTTGTAGGCCAAAACCATACAAATGATAATTTTGGATATTGAATAAAAGAGATTATTCTGTGCCGTTTCAAGTACAAAGTAGTCGTGGCATTGGAAACAGTTTATGAATTTTAGTAGGTAATGAACCGTGTTACGTACAACAATAAAAACTCAGTTTACGGTCTTCTAGTACATCCCTCGTGTATCATACATTGTATAGCTCGTTGACAACTTTAAAATCTAATAACCTAGTGGCCTGGTCGGCGACTTGAAGGCTGGGTTCTAATACTTTCAAGTCAAGTTACTTTGTTGATATCCCCTATTTAAAACTTCTTCACCGAAGATTGTGTATTTTTATACAATTTTCCTATTCCAATTCCACGCACGGGAAAATTCAAGTCAGTTCATAGCTGAAATCATCAAGACATTAGTGGTAACTAAAACGACAGACGAAGTTAAATCCTTCTAGATTAAGTCGATATATATCCATAATAAGAGAGATAAACAAAATCCTTACTAATATTATAAAGGCGAAAGTTTTTATGTATGGTTGGATGTTTGAATTGATTTTAATGAGACTGTACAATAATATAGCTTATAATTCAGAATAAGACATAGGTCTTTCTGTCTGTATTTACGCCTTCAGCCTATTCTTCGCAGACGTAGTCGCGGGCAGCAGCTAGTTTTTTATAAATATCAAAATTGGGACGAAGAATTTAAAAAATTTAGCAACGAATCTACTCTAAATAAGCGGTATGCGTCACAACCATTTAACAAGCCATTTATTAGCGACTGTCTATGGTGTGACAAACACACGGCGGCACAGAGCGCTACTCAGTTTTGAGACGAGTGCCTCGAGTGTATCTAGACGACAATGATAATTACCGCTCCAATAATTCCACTGTCAAGACTGTGTTGACTATTTATGTGACATTATTTTTATTTTTTGTGGTGAGTTTTTTTCATTAACGGTTAGTTTTTTTCATCTGATCTCGTATTTTTCACGTGAAGCGAGTAAGTATCTATAATGTTCGTATTTTTTTTGCTATATAAACAAAACTGTGTGTTAAAGAAACTTTATACCAAAATAATATATTATTCAAAAAAGTAATTAAATGCTCACTACATATCCTATAAAATACAAAATTTATACTACGAATTATTATTTTTTCAAAAAGTGGAAATTAATATAAGTAAAAGAAGAAATAAATGTTTTTATTTAATACATTTTTTTTTCATTTTTGTCGTATGATAGTCATAATGAAACGTAGCTATTTCAATCTAGTGCGAAGATTTAAAACGTGTAGTCTTCAATTTTAAAGTAAACCCCGAAAGCAATGGGACTTTAGCTCTTTTTCGAAAACAAAAGGTTAAGTATACTCGTATGCGATATTATGAATCTGTGATATTAGGCCGTATTTCGTTCACTCGCCAGACTCATACGCAATAATCTGTATTCCCATGAGCTGTGCCCGTTTTTATGTTCCACAGATTGAATTATTTAATAAATTAGTGAAGATTTCCAAATCAAATTATCTCTGTATTTAACACGATAATTTCGAAGCGTACACGTTAATGAGTAATGTTACTGACGGCATAATTATATCAAACTGTCACTATTGTGTTAAAGAAAGTAAAATAAACAGGGACATACCTTGTAATTAGTCCCGTTTTTGAACTTTTATGATAGATCCTTAAAAGGATCAAATTATATGTAAATTTTTATTCTTTTTTAATGACACAGAAATGTTTTCACCATTCTCAACTATTATGTTTCGCAGATTTAATGAAAATTTTTAAGAAAATAACTTCACTTGTAGATGCCGGCCGCTGCGTTGCAGAAAATTCGTCCTAATGATTATTGTATATTTTAAAACATGTAGGAAACTTTAAGATTATTGTATACTCAATAAGTTAGACATTTATCCTTCTAAGTACTCGATTGTAACGTACAGCCGTAACACAACGAGATTGTATTCGACTACTTTATAAAAGTTTTGTTTATTGGCTAAGTCTAGTAGGGTCTAGGATTATGCGCGCATCGGATTGTTTTAAAGGGGACAAGAGTACAAAACTCTATATTGCACCTAAGTACGCAATATTCTCGAATACGCAAGTCGAGTCTGGAGCCCAAGTATTGAGCCTACATTTCGCGTATTGATAATATCCAGTAGAAGTTTGTAAAATAACTATACTGTAACATCAGACTTTAAAAATGTTTGCCCAATTTCTAATGACTAGTCGATAAATAACAGATATAATCTTTATGCTGAATATATTAAATGGTAAAATAGAATCGCCAACAAATTTAACGTACACATAAAATATTTGAGGCAATTCATCTTAATCCACCGACCGATGTAGTATTTAAGAAATATCGTAAGAATGCATTTTTATGGCGAGCACAAGTCTGAATAAATATTGGGAAATAAAAAAAAACGCGTTTAATACGACAATTAATTCAGTTAGTCTTTTTCCTCCAAATACATTACTTGTTATTGTAATTCTATGGAAATGCTGATAGAAGTTTCAGTTGGACTATTTGATAAACTTTTATGTTCTGTTTATCTCCTACTTAATGTATAAATGCACATTGTTATTTTAGGACAAATTTAAATTTTTTTAGTCTATCATTTATTCGTGAAGGCTTGTTATTGATTTTCTGTATCTTTTTTTTTGTATTATATTATTATTTGCTTGTAAATAAACAGTACAAACGTTTAGTCTTTTAATTAGTTTAAAAGTAAGAAGTAAATATCAGCCTATACATGTCCCACTGCTGGGCATAGTCCACCACGCGGCCCCACTGGCGCACTTCACATATCTTCGAAGCATTTTTTTTTTGTTATTATTTCGAAATATGCAGGTTTCCTCACGATGTTTTCTTTCACCGCTGAGCACGTGATAATTCGGCACTTGAAATGAACAATTTCATTGGTGCCGGCAGCGGGAGGCGCCCGGACACTGAGCTATCACGGCTCAATTAGTCCAAAAAGTCTTATTCTTTTCTGTGTATATATTAAAGCTTTAACAAACTCAGAACTCTTTGGTTATCCAGGACAAACGAGATTGATAAGGCCTCCACGTTGGCGTTGTGCTGGTTTCGTCGAAATCGTAAGCGAAAAAAACTAATTGTTAATGTGTGTTAGCTAGATGTTGCCTAGTGGGACCCCGGTGGTTCTGCCGTACCTATGTCCTGTAGGCGGCGAAAGTAAACGGTCGCGTTTACTTTCGTTGGGGGTTAATAGGGGGGCAATAAGGGCGTTGAAATGGTTTCCATGCGAACGATGGCGTTTGAGCGCAGACGATCCCTAAGCTCCCCAAACTCCTCCAGGGTTGGTGTATGACTCCTGGCTAATGCCTGCGTTAGTACCGCAATGGTGCGAACATCTCAGCTTCTAAATACCAAGGCAGGATAGGCTCTCTGTACGTACGGCTGCCGCGTATGGCTCTAATAACCAACGCATACTGTGGTTTGGGCTCAGGTGATTCAGACTTGCCCACACGGGAGCTCCGTACGGGTACGGCTCCACACCATCCGAGGGCTCGTACCGAGGCCCATTAAATATTGGGAATATATTCGGATTTACTCAACGCCACCCAGCACTAGTCGGTTAAAGTTGGGCAAGTGGCGGCTCGATTCATCTCGGTACCGGTTGGAGGCCCGTTTAGCTGCGTTATTTTTCCAATAAGTCGTCGGAGGTGAAAAGTTCTCGACTTGCTCTTAAGGTGACCGAAGCTAACGCAGTCTCTCCTGAGATTAAAGAAAACTTTTTGTATCTTTGCACATATGTATGGACGATCCGCGTATAGTTCGATCAACATTGAGTTCAAAGAGTTTTATGCGAATCCTTAGTGAAATGATGTTTACATAGAGGAATGGATAGCTGAGAAAAGTTTTATTTTGATTTGAAATTCCGAACCCTTTTTAACACTTTAAAGCTTTCATGGTCACGGGACTGACTGACAGAATTAAAGAGAAAACAAACCAGTTTTATTTAAACATATACAGCGTGTTGTTACCATCGCGACAATAAATGAACACACGTCTAACGCTACTTGCCAATAATCATAAAAAAATATTAACGTTAAACAAAATACATAATTAAAAAAAAATATTTTTCAAACAAACTATTTAAGTAAAAAAGAAACAAATTTTGTAACATCCTATACAACTCGTACCACAGCGTCGCATTACAAGCCTCTCCTTCTAACAGTATGTTTTGTCTCTTTTAAATTCATTCAACCCATTCATATGCTTTGTGACCTTTACAAATGAACTTTACGTTACAGTTTTATACGTAAGGGTGTTCTAAAATTCTTTGTTTCGGAAAATTTAATAATTCTGTAAATATTGATGTTTAAAGGATGTAAATGTTTAATACAATTTTAAAAAGTTATCCTATATATGTGTGTTCATTTATTGTCGCGGTGGTAACGACACGCTGTATAGTATTCGTGTAAGTACACAAAATCCATATAAATAAAGTTACTTTTTTGTTTTAGCCGTGAAGATGGTGCACAATAATATATCTATTGGGCTTGACAGCGTGATACGAGGTTTGGTAAGTTTATTAGAAATCGTAAAACTTTTCAATAAACATTAAATTAATTAGTAATGACATTCTCTTTAAAGTGGAAGTATAATACTTTTGTGTTTCGTCTGGTGAGTAAGGTGGCCGGAGCCCAATATTTCAAAAAGGTTGTCAACGCATCTGCAAACCCTCGGGTGTAGCTGAAGTTGTTTTTATTTTGTAGAATTCCGTTTGATTCTTTTGCTTTTGTTTATTACGATTTAATTTCTCCTTGTCTTCGTTATTTTATTAATTGATTTTTCTATAAGCTTTTATTTTAGTACTTTAGTATAAAAAACAGATTTCTTTTCTAAATAGTTCTTATTCTATAGAAACAGGAGTCTGCGTTCAAAAATGTATTGGAATTTATTAGCGGTTATGTTTGCCTTAATAATTAGCAATTTACAATACGTGGATTCCTTAGTTGATTCAAATATTTAACAACTTATCTTCATTTGTTATATTACTTGTGCTGTGTATAAGTTTGTAGGGTGTTGTACCTTTCCATCAATAACACGTAAGGGATCTATTACTAAGCTAGGAAATTAACGCCGTTTAAATAATGGATAGAAGATTTCATTTGTTCGATTGTAAATGTATAGAAAATGTTTTTTAAAAATTACTACTTATCTCACCATATTGTTTTTATTGAAAAAACTGTTTAAATTCTCTCGAATACGTGCATATCTAAATATAATGGAGAGGGGGTTATTTATAGTACTTACGTATCATTTATGTGACATTGTGTGAAAGGCGATTAAGGTCGAAGTTTACTTAACCTGGCATGCAAAAATACGAAAAAGCGTGATAAAGGCTGGTTCTAAATAATTTTAATAATTTTAATGAGTATGCAAAGCACAATAATCAGGTCAAAAGAAGAAGCAAAACGGGCGCTCGATCAAAAGGATTCATTGTACCCGGTACGGGAACTAATCAAGTTGTAATTTCAATTGACTACTATGTTTACGGTGATGAAAAAAGCCTACATGTCTAAGATATAATAAACCAACCTCCGACCACATAAGAAGGCTGTGAACCGGTAATTGGGCCGCGTGGCGGGCGATGCCCTAGGTCATCTGTAAGGTCTTTACCCCATTATTGAGATAATTGGCATATTGAATACGTTGATTTTGGTAGGTAACGGTAATGTAAAACAAAACAAAGTGGATGAAAGTACGACAAAACGCTGTTTTTTTGATGATGGTATTTAAAACCACTGTCAATACAAGAAGTGTCATATCTATTTATTCTAATACCTTTAAACGAGCAATTAATTAATATAATCGGAATCTCGGAAACGGCTCCAGCGATTTTCATGAAATTTTGTATGTGTAGATTCGGGGTCGAAAAATCGTTCTGGCTAGGTTTCATTTTTAGAAAATGTCCTTTTATCCCTGTTTTCAGGGAATGAAAAATATCATTGAGATATGATAAATTTGGCGGAAAAAGATGTTATAATCGCTCGGTCGGTAATCGGGCGGCCCCGAAACAGAAGGCTGCGGTTCGTGTCACGATCATTTACACACTTAATTTTTTTACTTTTTTTCTATACCAAATAATTGCTTTCTTTATCTTTTATTTTTTTTATTTCCAAAATACACGATTTAACAAAAAAAAACTGAGCAAAGCTCGCCCCTCCAGGTACTAAATATTATAATAGCATTTGTGTAATAACTATCTATTTTTAATCGTATAATACATATTTTGAAACGAACAAAGAATCTACTTTTTTATCAGCAACATTTGAATTAAATTGAAAAGTATTACTGAAACTTATAACTTTCGCCTTAGGTGCGACATTTCTGATTCGCTCCACTCACTTAAGACCTTTTTACTTATTTCCTATTTCGGATTAGATTACGATGCAGTCTAATGTTTACGCTAGGAATGCTTTATGTAATGAGGTTTGGCTGAGTACGGTGTACACGCGAAATATTAAAGTGGATTATTTCGAGCACTGTGGCCATAAAAATCAGTACCTAGATCAAATCCAGATGTCTGGACAATGTTTGTACACGGTTGTCAAAACGGTAAGACCTAAATTAGTGTAACAAATTGTGCGCACGTAAATTTCTACGCCGCGAGATGTATTATTCTGATTGTTTATTTAGGTTTCAAGGACGTTCACCATGGAGTCTTACAATAAAACTAAGATTTTAGTTTACTCTTTCAGAAAATCATCTTTGGTAGTACCTATTCAGTATTGAGCGTAAATTTGTTGTACTATTAAATGCCTGTTAATTACGAATTAACTTCTGTAATCAAACAATGAATGTATCGATCATAAGTCGTTTTTTGAATAAAACTTCTTAGGTAAAATTTAAATTTAAAACTTAAATCTTATCGACATTTTTCTTTATCGTTAAGAACACGAAATATGGAAAAAATGCCCTTGGACATATATATTGTTCACTAAAAAATAAGTTTTCTATTTGTCAAATCGTTCTTCGACATCTGTTAAGATTACTTTTAAAGAGGAAATGTCGACGACACGAAACGACAACAATATATTGTAACATATCGGTGGTTGCTTGAATATTATACCGATTTAAACACATCGTGAGCGTTAGTTCCAATTTGCGGTAGCCTTAAATTATATATTGTTATGGTTATAACGCATATGTTGTCACATCGGATCGTAACTATGCGGAAAAGATTTGACCAGAGTATTGATAACAAGGAGCATCTAATAAATAAGTTAATAGTTACGCAGTTTCGCTTGCACAAGTGAAACGATTCAGCCTTCGGTCCTTGAGTGGATCACTCGCCGTAGTCGTGATGCGAACGGCTCACTATGTTTGTTAGCGCGATCGGTGTCTTAAAATAAAAAGTAACTGTTGCGAGCAGTTGCTCTAAATGAATATTGAAATATTATACTGATCGCGTTGGTTACCGCAAGTTAGTGTTTTGATTCTATAATTGTTCATTTAAATTAATATGTTAAATTTATTTCCGCGGGTTATTTTTAACATTTATTTTTAATTACCTATTCATTATAAATTCTTTGTTTATGTTAACAGTTTTTATAGGCCGGCATCCCGTATCCGGTCGCTTTTAAATCAGTATACGCGTACATTGTTGAATGTTCTTTGTAAGGTGTTGTAAGTTGTAAAGGATGCACACTAGCGCCAAGCATTGCAAAAAATGCAATAGAATGAACGTAGATAGATGTCGAGATTTTCGCACCGCGAGGTCATTGGCCACTTAGCTTAGTTGGTAAAGCGCCTGGGCGCGAAGCCAGAAGACGCAGGTTTGAATTTCGCAACGCCGAAAGTTTTTCTTCATATATCTACAAAAATTTACAGAGACTAGCACTAAAAATAAAAAATGTACAATAATACTTACCGATATTTGATAAGATTCTGGCCGTTTGACCAATTATTATTAGGAATTTTATTTATTAAATGCCGCGTGGCCCCTTTTTAGCTTTTTGTTGGAACCATTTACGTAATTTAGTTATTAATTCCAATATTCTGTTGTTTAGAGTGAAGAGGAGAATGGGCAAACAAGGAATAACGAAGAACGGAAGGGCAATGTCACCTACGGTATCGACGATACTCCCGCTTGGTATCTCTGTATCTTCATGGCATTACAGGTACGTACGTACTTAATAATTTCTTGTATTTACGCGATTACACATTATAAATGAAACTAATTTTACGGATTTATCGCGTTTATTTTTAATTTTAATTCCCGACGTTTCGAACCCTTTACAGCGTTCATGGTCACGGGACAGACTGAGGTGTTAGACGTCTGATTGTCATAGTTAACCCGGGCTACCGTCAGTTTTTGAATTTTAATTAGGGAACTAATTGTATCTTGTCTTGCAGTAGTGGTTCGTTTGGGCCTAGATTTAATTTTATTGATGACCCCAAGCGATGGTAGTACCCAACCTTCTTTCTATTGAAATTTGTTTGTTTAATTTCAATAGCCTCGCGAACCATCCTTGGGACGTGTTCTTTTACACGGATCTGTCGTTTGTCAAACCTGCTGTAGTGGTTGGGCCTATTCAAACTGTGCTCACAAACTGCATTGTTCAATCTATTGTGTTTTATGTCAGCTATATGTTCTTTCACGCGGGTTTTTATTGCTGTTTGACCTATGTAAGGAGCCCAACAGTCAAGTTTGGGATCTTGCAGAGGGATATTACACTTGACAGATAAAAACGAAGAACGGCTTGAGAGGCCTGCTTTAAGATATAGCAATGTCGGTGACCCTACGGTACAAATCGAAACGATACTCCATCCCAGCTTGGGTAAATCTCTGAGAGCACAAGGGATCTCAAACAACACCTAGCCGCATGGCATTACAGGTACGTACGTACTGTTCGTATATACAGCATGGCGTTACAACAGCGACAAAAAATGAACACACTTCTAATGCTACTTGCCAATAATCATAAACACATATAAACATTTAAAAAATACAGAATTAATAAAAAAAATCATTCAAACTAAAAGAAGAAAAAAAAACTGACTGATTCATACCTTGAGAGTCTTTTTCATTCGTTGCCACAACGTCGCATTACAAGACTCTCCTTCCAGTATGTTTTATCTCTTTTAAATTCATTCATCCAATTCATATGCTTTGAGACCTTTACAAATGAACTTTACGTTACTGTTTTATACGTAAGGATGTTCTACAATTATTTGATTTCGAAAATTTAATAACTCGGTGAAAATTGATGTTTAAAGAAAGTAAATGTTTAATACAATTTTAAAAAGTCTTTATGTGTGTGTTGATTTATGGTCGCGTTAGTAGCGCCACATTGTATGTAAGTCATATATATCATACGATTACGTTCATTTTAATCAACACGCCGCCTTTGTTCGCTTATCACTTTCTCTACCCACATTGATCTTTGTTAATTGGATCAATAAATGATACGATTTAAATATTATATCTGTATATAAATACGTAAAAAAGTCATTTTCCTTTGACAAGACGACTTTTGTTATTCCATTAATTATTTGTCTGAATTGGTAACTATGTCGATCTCCAATAATAGTCTAAGCAGGGCATTCTATTTTGCTCAATGCAGCAGGAAAAGTTATCAAATTTAAAACTGTTATGAAATTTAAAAGCTATAGTTTTTAGGGTGAAGCATTTATGGCCATCTGACTAAATCTTAATGTACTAACGATTTAAGATACATCGGTTTGTATTCGTTCCAGCTTTTCTGGTTGTCGCTTCTTAAGGGCTCGGTTGAATATAATTTAATTTAGTTTATGTGAGAAGGTGGCTACCGTGTTTGTGGTTCGCCTGATGTTAAGCGAAAGCCGCCGCCCATGGACATTTGCAACACCCGTAGGGTTGCGTATGCGTTGCCATATTATTATGTAGTGGGCCCCGGCTACCTCACTCACCAGACACGCAGAAATATAACACTTCCACTTCACGGTGTTTCGTGTGTCACCACCGTGGGTTCCGTGAGGGGAAGTACTGACTACTTTCCCGGACGGACCTGAACATTCGTGCAGCAGTGAACTCTTGCGTGGCCCTACCACAGTAAAATGTAAGTTATAATAAAAAAAATGTGCACTTGAGTTTTGGTTTGGCCAGCACTACCTGACGATGATCGGTGCCATCGTGGCGATACCGTTCATCCTCTGCCCGGCGCTCTGCATGCTGGACACCGACCCCGACCGCTCCAACATAATATCTACCATGATCTTCGTCACGGGTGAGTCTCCCGCGAACCTTCTAACACGCTCCTGTAACGATGTCGGCCTCCCTGAAATCCTCCGGCGTAGTAGAAAAGTAGAAAAAGAGAACTTTGCTACGCTCTTGCAACAATAATTGAATAGAAAGTAAAATTAAGAAGTAGTTAAGTAAAAGTAAGAACTGACTAGCTTCATTAAAGTCGCCGCTGCGGGATTCGAACCCATGTCATAAATGTGTAAATGATCGTGACACGAGCCACGGCCTTCTGATTCGGGGCCGTCCGATTACCGACCGAGCTATATATATATATATATACATATATACATATATATATATATATATATATATATACATATATACATACATATATACAACTTTTACTGCGAATATTAGTCGCTAGGGCAGTCAAACACAACTTACAACTTATTTTTCAGAAATTTTAATTCTTAATATATATACAAATATACGTATATTAACAAGCATAGTGAAATCAATTAGGACTCCACCCAACACTATCAATTATCTGGCTTCCCATAATATACATAATTTTATTTACATTTTCCTATCTATTAAAACTCCTATGAACAGTGCGATGTTGCCGCTGTGCTTTCTGTACTAAGATATAATAAGTTGGTGGATAATTACTATATATCTAAAGAACAGGCATGCTAGAGTAAATGTGAAGTTTATGGTTATGAAAAATAAAATATGAGTTAAAATGTCATTTATTACGATAGCATTAATTAATACGTTAAATGGGTCTACGTCTAGTCGAACTTTTACTTTCCAATAATCATAAAAAATACAAAATTAAAAAAAAATTCAAACAAATTAATTAAATAAAAAAGAAACAAAATTTGTAACATCCTATACAGCTACAACTAACTGATTTATACATTCAGAGACTTTTTCATTCGTTGCCACAGCGTAGCGTTACAAGTGTCTCCTACACACATCTATAACAGTATGTTTTATCTTTTTGAAATTCATTCAACCCATTCATATGCTTTGTGACCTGTACAAATGAACTTTACGTTACAGTTTTATACGTTAGGTTAGGCTGTTCTAAAATCGTTTGTTTTGGAAAATTTAATAACTCTGTAAATATTGACGTTTAAATAATGTATAATACAATTTTAAAAAGTTATCCTCAATATGTGTGTTCATTTATTGTCGCAGTTGTAACGACACGCTGTATATAAACGGGTTTTAGTTTGATCCGCTATCAGCCGTAATAAACCGTATCTCGAGAATGTTCCGTTTGAACAAGGGCTGTGATTGTGTTACCGTCAGTTGGTTAAGTTAAGAAGTATGAATGTAAATGAAATGTGTGACAGTTTGCGTAATGACATTATTAATTAATAAGGCTAATTACCCTCAACTATCCTCGCTCTCAATTATAGATAACAGTTATAAATGTTTATATGGTAAACGTTCCTTGGTATACATTTTGACTATTTATTTGAAGAAATCCGTTTAGCATCATGGTTTTCATTTAAATAATTTTGATAGAATTTTATAGCAGCGGTCTAACCTTTAGAAGTATTATTATAAGGCGTATTATTATAATTCCCCGTGAATCACGGGTTCTAATTCTACATGATATCATGAACAAATCAGTTGTCTAAAAATGGCTTTACTGAGCTTGCTAAAATGATACTTATCTACAGCGTGAAAATTAAAAGATGTGATGACTTATGATTATATGTAAAAGTAACAGCCTATATAGGAGGGAGGCTATTCTAAGTGTATCCATTTTTTTTATTAAATTTTAAATTAAATTTAGGCATAAATAATGTTATATAAAATATGATAAATATTTAAAATCACTCGTAATTAATTAATTACATTCATTTTAAATTATCTCAAAAATTGCGTGATCTAGGGCAACTCATTTATTTTACGCGCAATCATTCATAACTAACACGCACACAAGTTCGTTTCAAAAGTATACGACGCATTTATGAATGACTATCGCATTGTCAACAAGTTCTGTTTTTTAGGGAATAGAATGGCAATATTTTTGAAAAAAAAAGTTTGTTTTTATTTCAACAAACAATTAAACTACCGAGTCTGAACCTCCTGTGTGAATTTGGGCACCTTTAGAAAAGCCAACCTGAATGTCCCACTTCTGAGCAAAGGCCTCCTCTCTACGGAGGGTATCAGGGCATAGTCCACCACACGGCCCCACTGCGGATTGGTGGAAGTCGCATATCTTTGAAACATTTTTTTTATTGATATTTTAACGAAAATATGCAGATTTCCTCTCGATGTTTTCCTTCTTTTTTTTATTCTGAGCTCGTGATAATTCGGCACTTAAAATTAGTAATCTCATTGGTGCCGGCATCGGGGATCGAACTCGGGTTGCTCGAGTATATTGAATTTACGGTGGTAGGGCCCCGTAGCTACGGTGGTAGGGCCCCGTAGCAGCCTCGGCTGTTGCACGAATGGGCAGGCCCGTCCGGGTAAGTACCACGACCTCACAGAAGACCAGCGTAAAGTGGAAGTATGACAAATACTTTCGCGTTTCGTCTGGTGAGTGAGGTAGCCGGAGCCCAATTTTCCAAAGGTTGCCAACACATCTGTAACCCTCGGGTGTAACAGATGTCTATGGGCGGCGGTATTCACTTAACATCAGGTGAACCGTCTGCCCGTTTGACAACTTTTCGCATAAAAAAAAAAAAAAATTTAAAGCCCGCTCAATAAACTATCACGGCCCTATATGATTAATTGTACTTTATTATAATAAAATAATATAGAGCGGTTTATTTATATAATACCGAAATACTTCATAAATGAGTTTTTTTTTAAAACGTCATGGGATGTCAAGTATAGAGGGACAGTACCTTCAACCGTGGCGGATATCATTTTTACCATTATATTACGGTTTATCGAGCGCCATCTAGCAAAATTATTTTGCTATTTTAAATGTGGTACTACATCAACCCCGGTTATAACTGTTCTTATTCACCCCGGCCTAGTTACTTTCCCGTAAAAGAATCGTCGCGGCCTATGTCGTTTCATTCCGTGGCGTCCCGTTTCTAAAGCCTGCCCCATCCGGGGGAGGTTTCAACTCCTTTGACGTCAAAAGAGGCGCGTAATTACGAAATTGAATGGCCCGCGCTCCCTTTGACGCGCAATTCAAAAATATAATGACGCCCCAGTGACGAATGAACTTTACGAAACACCAACAACAAGAAAGATTAAAGTTTTATTTGTAAAAGGAACTCCATACGCCATTTTTAAATTTTATAACATACATAACAGTTAACAGGATTCCAGTAGATGTGGTACAATAATTCATCTATATCGCTACATCGCATTAAAACCTGTCTTGGATTAAATTGCATAGGCAATTAATATTATTCAACAATGCAATATAGTAAGGTGTAACAACCAAGGTTTTATGTGAATAATTAAAGCGCTCTATGTGGTTAACATAAATATTTTATTATTTTATAGATGTTTTTACCGAAATTTGAGTCTCAATTGTTGCTCATTCATACCGACAGTAGTCACTGATTAGTATACCGAATTACGAAAAAGAGGAAAAGTTATTGCGGTAATGTTGTAAAAAATATATAATACTGTAGTTTCACAAACGAAGCTATTTAATTCTTGTTCTTAACTTTCTAATTTCTATTTATTGAATTTTTGCTGTGAAGTGAAAACGAAAATAATTAATAATTTAAACGAAAATGATTTAAATTATTACTGTGTGTAACAATTATTGTGACAATAAGTTCTTCATATAGTAAAGAGAGTTTTTTAAACCAAGTACCAAGACAAGAAAGAAACATACATGAACGTGAAGTATGACCTCATGAAATGCTTACTATTTATTTTCGGCAGGCGCTAAACAGTAAATATTATTGAAACTGCATAATGTACACAGTTAAATACCAGGTTTAATAAAAAGTACTTGTTTATTTCTACATAAAGAAGTTGACAATTATACGAATTTAATAGTTTTGTTTAGATGACGATGCGTCCCTCTATTGGCGATTTCAAATATAATAAACCTTTTTTTCTCGACTCTTACGCAAGCTCTTTTAAACGATGATCTTTTCACTTTTATTTTTTTTTTCCTTTAAAAGTTTGAACGGACTTCTCTTTGTTTTGTAATTAGCTCTTTGATCAATCCATCGATCGGATCTTTTTTTATAATAGAAATATAAAAGAATGATAAGTATATCAATCTATATGGATCCTTATCATGAGGTATATATCGTTTTTGTAAATTATTAAATTATTTAATAAAAAAAAGAACTGTGGAGGTGCTGGGATTTGAACCCAGGACTTTCAGCATGCGAAGCAGACACTCTACCACTGAGTTACACCCCCCATGACAAATATATTCAATTTGAAAGTCAGATACTGTTTGTCAAGACAACTTTCACTCAACGATAAAATAAGTACGTATTTAGTACAATCTTAGGATAGAGTTATACCATTTGAATCCTTAAAGACAGTTTATTGTAGTGTAGCGTATATCGCATAAGAAATAGCAGGCCATCTAACGCGAACGCAATTTTCTTGTTTAAATTGTAGTGCGCAAGAGTGTTGTGTTCGGCGCAAGGATAGTGATCTAAGATTTGTTACGAAAGTTTTCATTTAATTACGATGGAAAAAGTATATTGATATTACTGGTAGGTCTGATTTATTCGGTATGATTTTTTTGTACCTGAGTGTTTAATATGTAAATAGTTTGATTTTCTATACAGTTTTAGCAATGCTGTTATTAGAATTACATTCTAGATTTAGATTTTATTACTGTGACCGATAAAACGAACACAAATGTTACAGATGATGTTCGGATTCGTTTCATAATTTTATTTTAATTAAATTAATTGTTATTTTATTTATCGCGTTCACGGTAACACGCCAACGTGATAAGATCCGTAAAACAGTTTTACTTCATTATATCAGTGTCGGATGCTACGAGCCCCTTCTGAGGGATCTTCGCCGAAAAATACAATAAAATCTTATCATATAATGAGACCGTCCTCAAATTATGAC